CTAGCATCACCAACTCAAAGTAAATTGGCAGTACCAGCATCACCAACTCAAAGTGAATTGGCAATACTAGCATCATCAACTCTAGGTAAATTGGCAATACTAGCATCACCAACTCAAGGTAAATTGGCAATACTAGTATCACCAACTCAAGGTAAATTGGCAATACTAGTATCACCAACTCTAGGTAAATTGGCAATACTAGCATCACAAACTCAAAGTGAATTGGCAGTACCAGCATCACCAACTCAAAGTGAATTGGCAATACTAGCATCACCAACTCAAGGTAAATTGGCAATACTAGCATCACCAACTCAAGGTAAATTGGCAATACTAGCATCAACAACTCAAGGTAAATTGGCAATACTTGCATCACAAACTTGAGGTAAATTGGCAATACTAGCATCACCAACTCAAGGTAAATTGGCAATACTAGCATCACAAACTCAAAGTGAATTGGCAATATTAGCATCACCAACTCAAGGTAAATTGGCAGTACCAGCATCACCAACTCAAAGTGAATTGGCAATACTAGCATCACCAACTCTAGGTAAATTGGCAGTACTAGCATCACCAACTCAAAGTAAATTGGCAGTACCAGCATCACCAACTCAAGGTAAATTGGCAATACTTGCATCCCAAACTCAAGGTAAATTGGCAATACTAGCATCACCAACTCAAGGTAAATTGGCAATACTAGCATCACAAACTCAAAGTGAATTGGCAGTACCAGCATCACCAACTCAAAGTGAATTGGCAATACTAGCATCACAAACTTGAGGTAAATTGGCAATACTTGCATCACTAACTCAAGGTAAATTGGCAATACTTGCATCACAAACTTGAGGTAAATTGGAAATACTAGTATCATCAACTCAAGGTAAATTGGCAATACTTGCATCACAAACTTGAGGTAAATTGGAAGTACCAGCATCACCAACTCATAGTAAATTGGCAGTACTAGCATCACTAACTCAAGGTAAATTGGCAATACTAGCATCACCAACTTGAGGTAAATTGGCAATACTAGTATCACCAACTCTAGGTAAATTGGCAATACTAGCATCACCAACTCAAGGTAAATTGGCAATACTAGCATCACCAACTTGAGGTAAATTGGCAATACTAGCATCACCAACTCATAGTGAATTGGCGATACTAGCATCATCAACTTGAGGTAAATTGGAAATACTAGCATCATCAACTCAAGGTAAATTGGCAATACTTGCATCACAAACTTGAGGTAAATTGGAAGTACTAGTATCACCAACTCTAGGTAAATTGGCAATACTAGCATCACCAACTCAAGGTAAATTGGCAATACTAGCATCACCAACTCAAAGTGAATTGGCAATACTAGCATCAACAACTCAAGGTAAATTGGCAATACTTGCATCACAAACTTGAGGTAAATTGGAAGTACTAGTATCACCAACTCTAGGTAAATTGGCAATACTAGCATCAACAACTCAAGGTAAATTGGCAATACTAGCATCAACAACTCAAGGTAAATTGGCAATACTAGCATCACCAACTCAAAGTGAATTGGCAATACTAGCATCATCAACTCAAGGTAAATTGGCAATACTTGCATCACAAACTTGAGGTAAATTGGAAGTACTAGTATCACCAACTCTAGGTAAATTGGCAATACTAGCATCAACAACTCAAGGTAAATTGCAATACTAGCATCACCAACTCAAAGTGAATTGGCAATACTAGCATCAACAACTCAAGGTAAATTGGCAATACTAGCATCCCAAACTCAAGGTAAATTGGCAATACTAGCATCACCAACTCAAGGTAAATTGCAATACTAGCATCACCAACTCAAAGTGAATTGGCAATACTAGCATCAACAACTCAAGGTAAATTGGCAATACTAGCATCCCAAACTCAAGGTAAATTGGCAGTACCAGCATCACCAAATCAAAGTGAATTGGCGATACTAGCATCACCAACTCAAGGTAAATTGGCAATACTAGCATCACCAACTCATAGTAAATTGGCAGTACCAGCATCACCAACTCATAGTAAATTGGCAATACTAGCATCACCAACTCATAGTAAATTGGCAATACTAGCATCACCAACTCAAAGTGAATTGGCAATACTAGCATCACCAACTTGAGGTAAATTGGCAATACTAGCATCACCAACTCAAGGTAAATTGGCAATACTAGCATCACCAACTCAAGGTAAATTGGTAATACTAACATCACCAACTCAAAGTGAATTGGCAATACTAGCATCAACAACTCAAGGTAAATTGGCAGTACCAGCATCACCAAATCAAAGTGAATTGGCAATACTAGCATCACCAACTCTAGGTAAATTGGCAATACTAGCATCACCAACTCATAGTAAATTGGCAGTACTAGCATCACCAACTCAAAGTGAATTGGCAATATTAGCACCAACAACTCAAGGTAAATTGGCAATACTAGCATCACCAACTCAAGGTAAATTGGCAATACTAGCATCACAAACTCAAGGTAAATTGGCAATACTAGCATCACCAACTCAAGGTAAATTGGCAATACTAGCATCACAAACTCAAGGTAAATTGGCAATACTAGCATCAACAACTCAAGGTAAATTGGCAATACTAGCATCACCAACTCAAAGTGAATTGGCAATACTAGCATCAACAACTCAAGGTAAATTGGAAGTACTAGTATCACCAACTCTAGATAAATTGGCAGTACTAGCATCACCAACTCATAGTAAATTGGCAGTACCAGCATCACCAACTCAAAGTGAATTGGCAATACTAGCATCACCAACTCAAGGTAAATTGGCAATAATAAAGTAGCATCCCCAACTCACGATAATATTAAGGTAAATTGGCAATAATGAAGTAACATTACCAACTCTGAATAAATTGGCAATACTAGCATCACCAACTCAAAGTGAATTGGCAATAGTAGCATCACCAACTCAAAGTGAATTGGCAATATTAGCATCCCAAACTCAAGGTAAATTGGCAATACTAGCATCACCAACTCAAGGTAAATTGGCAATACTAGCATCACCAACTCAAAGTAAATTGGCAATAATAAAGTAGCATCCCCAACTCACGATAATTGGCCAATATTAAGGTAAATTGGCAATAATGAAG